TTCTTTCCGTCCTCTGCTGACCCTTCACTGTTTGTGCGTTCCGGCCAGACTCCGTTCTACATCCTTGTCTACGTAGACGACCTGGTCTTCGCTACTCCTGACAGGGACGCACTGGCCTCTGTGAAGGCTGAGCTGCTGAAGAGACACACCTGCACTGACATTGGAGAGCTGCGTCGCTATCTTGGCCTGCAGATCTCTAGGGACAGAGCAGCACGCACCATCACTCTGACCCAGTCACACTTGGTGCGTCAGGTCCTTCAGAGGTTCGGTCTTCAGTTCTCCTCCGCACAGCCCACACCTCTACCCGTAGACCATGGGCTCTCTGCTCCCGTTCCTGAGGAGCCAGTAGAGCCCAGTGGCCCCTACGCAGAGCTGGTGGGTTGCCTCATGTACCTGATGACTTGCACTCGCCCAGATCTCGCATACCCTCTCAGCATCCTGGCTCGCTTTGTGGCTACAGGCAGACACCGACCTCAGCACTGGTCTGCCGCTAAGAGGGTTTTGCGTTATCTTGCTAGTACATCAGGCATGGGGTTAGTGCTAGGAGGACGCAGGCCAGTGGTCCTTACTGGGCACACAGACGCTTCTTGGGCAGACGACGCTGAGACGCTCAGGTCGTCGCAGGGCTACTGTTTCAGCCTTGGTTCGGGTGCTATCTCTTGGAGATCCACTCGCTCGTCGTCTGTGGCTCAGTCTAGCTGTGAGGCTGAGATCTACGCTGGTGCCATGGCGGCACAGGAGCTCCGCTGGCTGACCTTCTTGCTCACAGACTTAGGTGAGCGGCCTAGCTCTGCCCCGGTCCTGTACGCTGACAACAGGGCCATGATACTCCTGTGTCAGGAGCCTCGGCTTGAGGGCAGAGCGAAGCATATCCAGCTGCGGTACTTCCTCCTGCGCGAGCTACAGCAGCGCCGCCAGGCCCGCGTAGTTCACTTGGCCTCAGGTGCCAACACAGCTGATATCTTTACTAAGGCGCTTGCGCCTAAAGATCATCAGCGGCACTGTGTACAGCTTGGTCTTGTTCCTATAGCTGCTCCCCTGTTAGGATCCTGATTGTGTACTCTCTATTATATATGCTTGTCAGACTGGCCTTGTGGCCTTACCTCCAGTGGCTGGACTAGTAGTGCCACCCTGGCTTGCTTCAGTTTTGGTTGTATTCTTGCTGACTGGTCTCCAGACCCCTGCCTCAGTGGTTGGACTAGTAGTGCCGCCCTGAGCTGTTTGCTTCTTGTTTAGTTTCACCCCTTGTCTAGCCTAGGGGGTGTGTCAACTTATACATATTATCTGTGTAGAAGTTATAGGCTAGACTGAGGTATGCTTCTAGTGAGTACAACCAACTAGTATTTGTTCTAGGTTTCCACCTCTAGTAATCATTCGTTTCTACGTTAACAAGAAACTAGCTTAGCTAGGAAGCCATAGAATGGCACAAGGTTTAGCTAGGAGCTAGGAGGAGCCATGAGAATGGCGAGAGGTTTTAGGTGCTAGGAAAGTTGAGGAGAGAAAAGATGTTGGATTAGAAGAGAGGGGAGTACAAGGAGGGTTTTGTACCCCCTACAGAAAGGTTCAGTAACAACCTACCAAGCCTATATTAAATTATAACTTATATAATTTGAACATCGATTTCCAGCATCGAAGAAGCCGATTTTTGGTGGGGGGGCATACGCCAGCGACCCTCGCCAATGAGAAGACATCCCCGAAGTACCTGCATTAACATCATGGGTTTTTTCTGCCCTCCGAAGCGATCGACGGTAGCTAGTGGAACTTACCCTGCGACGTTTTCCAAGAATTTCCAACTTCGCCACGAATCTTGGAGTTGCAGCAGCAACGATCTACGACAGCCGTCCGATTCAACTTCGACGCTTTAGATCGCCCGAGGAAAAACGAACCTGAACTGATGGAGTTCGAGTTTCAGCGCATATGGAAACGAGACCTTGTCACCAATGGATTGTTCACGCGCGTCCAATCATTTTGCCTATCTTGGCTAGTTCCTTAAAATGCTGTTTGATCCGGAGCAGAGAGGAGGGGCGTATAAACGAATAATGCTTATCAGTCCCAATGCACGAGTTAGAGCCCATGGGACTAATCCTACGGAGGGGCGTCTATCCGGGTGATTACGGTAGCTTATTGTATGTAGGGGATGTACAAATGTTAATGACGCAATTATGATTTGATGTAATAGTTCAATTGTAGCAATCCGACTAGTAGCGGGTGAAAATGTTGCCCAACAAATACCCTGGACATTTGTTGACCTGGCCGTTTCTGCGCCTCCCTGCTGCGTGCGTGCATGGGAGGGGAATCTACATTTGGTTTGGAACCTGAAAAGGGCCCGCCCCATCAACTGACTGGCAGGCTCTGATAAGCTATTGGCGCTCTGATTGCCACTCACTCATGCGGTCGCCAGCTTTGCTGTCACCTCACCTGGGCCTATGGTTCCACCAAATCTGTTCTCCCTAGGGAAATCTGCAGTTCGACATCCCTCCCTTTCCTGCAGACCTGACCGACACAAACAGCGAGAAGCGGCGGGCGGGCAAGTCACATGGCGCCAGCAATTCCAAGTCTGCTCTGCCCCCTGAGTCACCCAAACCAAATCATTCGGCTCGGCAGCACAGGTCTTCTGATAGGGTTTCAGATTCTTCTTCAGGCAAAAGCACCTGTCAGGTGCCTTTCAGGTTCGCGTGAGATAAGCTATTCTCAGGAGTTTGCGAACTTGTCACCACCTGCGATTTCAGACTTACAACATTTACATTCCTGATCTACCTGCGCTTCCTGTTCCGTCAGAGCAGAGCCTTTCCCGCAGTTCTGAGTCCCTCCTCCTCACTCCAGCAGCAGTGGCACCAGCAGCAAGATTTCCGCCGCAACATATATTCCTTTGTTCCGCTCCTGGAAAGGATATCAGGGAGTTAGTAGTTCAGCACCAGTTCCACGAGTAGACAATATTGAACATTCATTCAGCACTGACGTTGCATAATTGTTACCACAGCAGTACTCGCTACTAGTCGCAATGGCCAGAGCCGCGCTTCTCGCGCTCTCCTTTGCGCTGCTGGTGGTGGTCGCCAGCGCCGGGAGCGCCATCACGAGCACGACGACGAATGCCAAGCCCGACCCCACGAGCAAGAAGGACGACGGGCTCATGACCGAAATCCCGGCGGCCATCGCGAAGGCGGCAGCAGCGGGCGACGCGGCCGGTGTGACGTACGTAGACACGTCGCAGGATACTTTCTTCATGGCGGACGTGAAAAAGGCCGGGTGGAACGCGCAGAAGTGCCCCCCCGGTTTGAACAAGGAGCTGGCGGGCGCGTGCACGCCCAAGAACTGCTCCAAGGGCGGCATCGCGGCCAAGTGGAAGACGGCGTACCTGCAGAAGAACAAGCTCGGGTACGAGCTGTACGTGCCGGGCAACCCGCTGACGGTGCTCAAGGCGAACCCCGCGTCGTGCTGCAACACGTGCGCGTCGACGCCGCTGTGCACGTACTGGCAGTACATCCCCGACATCACGATCGACGGCAAGAAGGGCAAGGGCGCGTGCTACCTGATCCACGACCAGATCGACTTCACGTGCGGCGAGATGACGGCGCAGTACAACACGGAGACGAAGCCCGTGCCGCTGCAGGTGCGCATCGGCGGCGAGTGCAACCCCGCCGCGAAGATCCTTAACGACCCGCACCTGGTGGGCGCGCACGGCACGCACTTTGACTTCAACGGGCGCCCCGACAAGGCGTTCTGCCTGCTGACGGACCGCAACCTGCACGTGAACATGCTGCTGCGCGGGTACTACGACGAGCGCACGGACAACGCGGCGCTGGTGGTGGACGGCAAGGCCGTGCACACGTGGATCAAGGAGCTCGGCATCGTGTGGACCGCCGGAGCCGTGGACCACAAGATCCGGTTAGCGGCGCGCAGCGGCAAGCAGCAGGAGCGCGGTGCGGGGTTCATGAGGAGCATCGAGATTGACGGCGAGGAGATCCCGCGTATGCAGGTGGGCGACACGGTGACGAGCGCGGGCGGGCTGACGATCCAGTTCCGCGCGCTGGAGAAGGAGGGGCCGTTCGACGTGGACTACTACCTGCTCTCCATCGACGGCCTCATCTCCCTCGACCTCCGCCTGCGCGTCGCGCACCCCAAGCTGCAGATGCCCAGCGACGCGGAGGCGCACATCAACGTGGGGATCGCGGAGCTGGAGCACACGGACGACATCCACGGCGTGCTCGGGCAGACGTACCGCGACGACCACGCGCAGCGCGCCGCCGACTTCCAGAAGCTGATCGCGAGCCTGCACCGCCCGATCTCGGCCGACGGCGCGGAGGGCCAGGGCTTCCTGGACGGCACGCCGCGGTCGTACGAGGCGAGCGACGTGCTCGCCGTGGACTGCGCGTACACCGCGTATGGGCGCGCCCGGCAGGTGATGCCCGTACAGCAGTTCCCGTAAAGAGCCGACTCGGTAGAAGGGTCAGAATTGTATTGTACAGTGGGCTGATTGCTAGCTTCGGTGGGCTGATTGTTAGGTTTCGTTCGGTGGGCTGAATCCATGTGGGCTGAATGGTAGATCCTCGGTGCTAAGCCTCATCGCTGTATTATCATCTGCCATAATGTGAGTTTTCTATTCATTCGTTTGCTATCAACTTCTCTCGAACCTTGAATACGGGGTTCTGGTCTGACAGAATCTTGCTATGGTTGTGTATGCTTTCAAGCCTTTGCTATGGTGTTCCTTAGTACTAGAACCAGGGAGACCAGCAGAAAGGTGCAAGTGCAGGCACTTGAGAACGGTCCATTCCATTTCAGCTGAGCCCCCATCACTCAGTATTCTACGGTCACGGCATTTGGGCAACAACGTTCCATTTGGACGGCTTCTCGTCTCAGGAAGCTAGGAGACTAGGAGGCCACCATCTAATGGCGGGGGGAAAGTAGATCTAGGAGCAGGCAGAGAATGTCGAGAAAGAAGAGTGGTAGGATTAGGAAGAGAGAGGGGTACAAGGAGGGGATTGTACCCTCTACAGAAAGGTTCAGTAACAACTACCAAGCCTATCAGTTATATATAACTTATATAATCTTAACATCTCGTTCTACTATTCACGCAAGTCTCACAAAACTGCATACACCACGTCAAACAAGTTACACTTGCAGTCTGCTTGCTTCCTCTACAAGACGTCTCCTCCAAATATGAGTTGCACACTCAGCAGGACACGATACGACGAGCTCCTACAATACCCCAGTGGGAGGATCACTGGCTTGCCATGTTTCGTTTCAAGGTGAGCAGGTGGCTCAAGGTAGCGCCGGTACGACGAAACCACATGCCATGAGATGATAACCTCAGCGGCAGCTGTGAGACGGTTCAGCAAACTTGCACTGCACAGCATCCACTACGAGCTCTCACCACCAGCACCAGCACCATCCACCAGTGTGAGCACCGCTGGCATGCCGTACTTGGTTTTCAGTGTCAGCAGCTGCTCCGGGTAGTGCCGGTACGATGGAGCCACGCGCCACGAGAACTTCAGCAGCAGCAGCGACAGAATCGCCTTTGCCTCCAGCACTGCAAAGTTCTGCCCAATGCACGTACGGGGGCCGACACTAAAGGGGATGAATGCGAGCGGGTGCGTTGCCGCCTTGTTAATCCCGTTCTCGAATCGTTCCGGTTTGAACTCGTTCGCATCTTCCCCCCACAGCTCCTTCCTCCTGTGCATCGCTCCGATAGGCACCGTCACGCCACACCCGGCGGGAATGCTAAGCGTTTCGCTTAGCTTGGCGCGGGTGGCGCAGAGGCGCGCAACGACAGGAGCGGGCGGATAGAGCCGGAGCGACTCATTGAGAATCATGGTGATGGTCTTTAGCTCTGCCGCCTTCTCCATCGTCAGCCCCGCCCCATCGGCTCCCAGCACCTGCCTTGCCTCCTCTCGCGCGCGCTGCTGCCACGTGGCGTGCTGTGATAGGAGCAGCACGGTCCAGGTGAGGAGGTTGGAGGTGGTTTCGTGGCCAGCTAGGAGGAAGGTGAGGCACTCGTCCATCAGCTGCTGGTCCGACATGGCAGGGGGGTGCGGGGCTGACTTCACTACTCCTGCTCCTCCTCCACCTCCTGCTGCTGCGTCACTCTCTTCATCTGTGGCGTTCAGCATCAGCTCCAACAAGTCGGTAGCTCCCTCGTCGTCCGCAGCCCTCCCCTTTGCACCAGTATCATCAGCATTCTCCGTAGCAAACGCATCGGCTCCAGCAGCAGCATCGGCAGTATCAGCAACAGCAGCAGCAGCAGCGGCAGCGGTGGCTTGCTGCTCTCTGCGGTGCCGCCGGGCGGCGATCATGCGCCTCATGATGCTGCGGATCAGCCGCTCCTGCCTGTCTCGCTCCCGGTGCAGCGCCAGGGGGAGCGAGCTGAGGGGTTGGGTGGGAGCGGAAAGGAAGAAGATAGGGGAGGGGGTTACAGGGAGAACGAGTGGTGGGTGGCTTTAGGATCTGGCAAGGTGGGAGGAAAATGGGAGTGACAAGGCGGGCATGGCAGGAAGGAAGGACACCGTCCAGGAATCACACAGTCCAGGAATCACACGGAGGACGATGGAATGGCACCAGGCATAAGGGACGAAGGTCATTTGGGACCAAAGGTGCCCCCTTTCCATCTTGTGCAATAGTGAGCGCACGTGGAAGGGGCCAGGGACCAAAGGACAGGCAGGCGCCAGGCCAGAGTAACTCCTGCACAGCACCAGGAACAGAGAGTAACCTGCTGCACATGAAAGGAAGGAAGAATCGGCACCAAACGAAGCACACTGTGCAGTCGTGCCACAGGACCAGCAGGATTCCAAGGAGCTGCAGCCAAGGGGTTGCTTGACGGGAGAAGAACCCCGCTGGGAAACACAGCAAGCAAAGTGACTGAGCCGCTAACTCACTCACAGGTATCCAGGAATCATTGCAAACGGGCTGCGCACAGTCGCCCCTGCCGCCTCAAAGTACGCCCGAAACGCCACCACCAGCTGCTCTGCCTCACTCTTTCCACCCTGCCCTCCTCCCTCCCCTCCCCTCCCTCCGTCTCCTCCCTCGTCTCCCTCTCCCTCCCCCTTGCCCCCCACGCCACCGAGCTTGGCACCGAAGGCAGCCCGCCCAATGACTTCCAGAGTCAGAGTCTCAAGCATGTTGTCAATCCGAACCTCCTTGCCAGGCTCGGCCCGAACCTGCTTCTCCCAGAGCGCCAGGGCAGCTCGGGTGCATTCGAGCATGGTAGGGAACATGCGCTGGCCGGGGGGGAAAGTGGGCGGGGGGGAAGGGGAGGCGGAGAGCATGGGAAGGAGAGAGCATGGGGAGGGAGCGAGGCTGTTGAGTCGACTAGTCATCCGAGAAGGTTGGGGGCATGCTCTGGCGATGGGGGGTTGGGCACGGGGCGGGCGAGAGGGGAAAAAGGCTAGCTCTTGAATCGACTCAAAGGTCAGTCCAGCGTGGTTAGCCACCGAGCAGCACAGAAAGGCTTTAAGGCTCTTGGGGGCTCTTGAGGGCACTGGGTTCTCAGGAGCACTGACACTGGGGTCCTCAACTCACCCTGAGACCCCTGTGCTTGAACGCAGGGTTGATCCTCCGCCTCTGAGCGGCGGATCAGGCAGGCATTTGCAGAGGCACAGCGCACACCACATGCTCTCACCTTAAGCTCGCTGTGCTTGAACGCAGGGTTGATCCTCCGCCTCTGTGCGGCCCACAGCGGTCCCGACGCAGTGACGAGCCCATTGCCGAGCAGGGGGAAGGCGGCTCGGATGAGCGTTGTCTTGGGGAAGGCGTCGTTGTGCGCGATGTAGATGGCGCGCACCAGCGAGGGGTCTGCAATGAGCACTCGCGACATGGGGCCAAAGCAGTAGCGCACCACCGGGCCGTAGCTGGGGAAGGGAGTGGGGGGGAGGGATGGAGGGCGGGTTTGGGGGGGGGGTTGGGGGGATGGATAGGATGGCAAAGAGAGGGGAAAGGAGGTTCGAATGGTTAGGAGCACTCGCGACATGGTGCCAAAGCAGTAGTGCACAACGGGGCCGTAGCTGGAGGGGGGGAGAGAAAGGGATGGAGTACGGGATTTGGGGGGTGAGGAATGTGGGGAGGGTGGGGGGATGGATGGGACGGCAAAGAGAGGTGGAAGGATAGAAATGAATGGCTATGTGCAGAGCACTCTCAGTGCACCCTCAGTGTACTTTCGGTGCACTCTCAGTCCCCACCTCCTTCTCAAGTTCGCCGCCCTAACCCCCCCTCCCCCCCCCACCCCAACGCACCTCCTGACCATTTCGTCCAGCACGTGCGTGGCAGTGCTGCTGGCCGCGAAAGCAGGGTCCGACTGGCGCCGCTTGCGGAACTGACCACGGGGAAGGCGCGGGGGGGGGGGGGGGGGGGGGGAAGAGAGGGATGCAACGGAGTCAGGATCATGATGATCATGATGATCATGATGATGATGATGATGATGATGATGATGATGATGATGATGATGATGATGATGATGATGATGATGATGATGATGATGATGATGATGATGATGATGATGATGATGATGATGATGATGATGATGATGATGATGATGATGATGATGATGATGATGATGATGATGATGATGATGATGATGATGATGATGATGATGATGATGATGATGATGATGATGATGATGTGGGCGCCACGCCTGGAGCTGCTTGGGGAAGTGCACAGGAGCGGGCTTGGGCGGGGGAAAGAGCGGACGGGAAGAGAGGAGAGGAGGAGAGGAGAGGAGAGGAGAGGAGAGGAGAGGAGAGGAGAGGAGAGATGAAGCCAGGCAGGGCAGGGAACCCAACCGTGGGAAGCACTTGCAGGCGGACAACCAGCGAGGAGTGCGTAGCGAGTAAGATGCCATGGGGATGTTGGGGGGATGCCATGGGGATGCATGGGGATGCATGGGGATGTGATGGGGATGTTATGGGGATACTCACACTGCGCACCCACCCACTCCTCGCCCACCCCTCACCCACAGACGCCACCGCAAACACCGTACCTCCACAGCCACAGCTAGGGCCATCACACCTGGAGCAGGTGGTACCTGAAAGGGGAAACCCGGAGCAGGTGGTACCTGGACTAGAGCACGTTGTACCTGGATCATGTCGGCGAGGACGCCGTAGAACAGCCGGAAAGGCGGCCCGGGCACGCCTTGCGCCGCGAGGTCCGCCATGGCTCGGCGCGGCACGACCCAGAAGAAGTTAACGGCGACGGAGAGCAGCGCGGTGAGCAGCAGCGCGAGCAGCGCGACGAGGAGGCTCGCGGGGGAAAGCGCGGGGAGCAGCAGCGGCGGAGAGAGAGATGGTGCGGAATCCATGGCGCGAGGAACACCGGAAAGTGATAGGCGGAGGGGGAGGAGGGGGAGGAGGGGTGGGGGGGAGGAAAGGGGGAAGGTCGAGGCACTGGGGCACGGTAAACAAGGCAGCGGCGGAGGGTAGCGGAGAGCCGCGGAGGCAGGGGAAGCCGCGTGCAGCACAGGCCGCCGTGGCAGAGTGGGCGAGCAGCGTGGGTGAGCGCGTCGAGCACGCGACGGGAATCCGTGCGACGGGTGGTACTAGTAGTCTCTGGGCCGCTCGCTACTCGGAGTTAAAGTACGAGTGTGTGTGTGTCTCAGAGACAGGAATGTCGGGCTCGGAGGGAACACTGTGTGTGTTGTTCTAAGGGCGTGTCCAGCGCGTACGTTTTTGGTCAAAGCCTTCCCTACCGTTTTAGAGTTGTCCTCGATCCTTTCGATTCGTGAGGCACCCACCCAACCCTAATCAAACGTATGCCCTGGACACGCCCTAAGTCGAGGTGAGGTCATGGAAAGAGAAATGTTTCTCATGTTGACTCGCTAACACCTTGATTCTGCTGACGTACTACCGTTCTGAAACGTATACAAACCTCAGTGGTTGGTTTGGTACGGCACTTGACGACTGCCCCGCATGCAGTGCACAGCTGGCGGTCGGAAAGGAGGGGAGGTGGCAGTTCCGTTACGGGATACCCCAGTTGACGATTTGTGGAGTATTACGAGAGGCAAATTGTGAGCATCAGAAATCGCACTATCCAGATTCTATCCGATTGACGAACAATATTAATCCGAAGCGGTTTTTGGCAATTTATTTTGTGTGTTGTCAGTCAGCGCGAGATGGGGAGATATTTACAAGGGAATAAATAAATTATATCGAATAACCCTACCTACACTGTTGATGTGGACCATAGTTAACAAATTCCCAACAGTCTTACCAGGAGAGAAGGTCGTGGCCCCCAGATTTCAGGTCATTTACCCTGATTCAGGGTTTTTTCAGACTGTTTGCTTGTACCAGCCCTGAACTTTTCAGGTTTTTTTTTACACCCATATTAAATTATATATTTGATAGACATATAATGGTAGGCTTTGTAGGTGTTACTGGATTCTACTGTAGTGGGTACAGCCCCCCCTTCTTGTGTCACTTGTTAAAATTATATTTTATGTAATTGTAGTCTTGGTAGTTATGCTACTAACTGCATCCTACTGTAAAGGGGATAACCCCCTTCTTGTACCTCATTCTCTTCTAATCGAATCTCTTCTCTCTCGACATTTTCCCTCCTATCTAAACCCACCCGCCATTTCATGGCGGGCTTCCCTACTTCCTAGTTTAACTAGCATTCAGACATCCCTCTCTCTTCTTTTCAATATCTCTTTTCTCTCTACATTTTCTCCTAGCCTAAACCCTCACGCCATTTCCATGGCTTCCCTAGCTACCTAGCTCATTCGACAACCCAACCTTGAAATTTCAGCTTTTTTACAAGAGTGAACTCCGAACTCTGTCTCTACAGCGATGTTAGAGTTATGGACCCTGTTGCCTCTGCCTACTCTCGGAGGACTAGCCTGAACCCTGCAATACCGTGATTTGGGGGTCCTACCATAACCTCCGCCCGTTTCCCCTGCTCGATGTGCGCTGGGGGCTGTGTGAGGGCACTTTTTGGACCTAAGCCAGATTTATGGCCAGTGTGGGCTTAGGGCTGTGTGAGGGCACGCGTTGGCCGTAAGATTTTTTTTTGGCTAGTGTGTGCTGGGGGCTGTGTGAGGAGCAGGGTCATGGCTAACTTTTAGGCCTGTCTGATATTCAGACAAACTTTTTTGCCTTCGTCTGACGTTCGGACGGAAGAATTGCACAATTCAGATTTTTCAGATGAAAACAATTGATGTGTCTGAAAAAACTGACGAAAGTTTATCGGAGAACTGTAGTGTATTACACTGTGTACTCTATTTCAGTTTTTCGTACATTCACACGCCTCGCGAAGTCATACTTCTCGTGGGGTGTGGGGGGGGGGATGGGATTTTTCACGCTTCCTGATGTGTCGAGGGGATTTCTCCACCCTTGCTGATGTGCCCTGGCTCGCTCGATGGGCTGGAAGGAAGAACTAGCCTGAAGGTTTTGTCCGCTAGCGGACCTAGTTTATTTTCCTTACGTACCTTTTCAGGGTGTTTTTTGGTCCACACACCCGACCAGCTATGCCAGGTCAACAAGGATTCTCATTCACCCAGCTCAGATTTTACTGTTGCGGGCGCAATTTCTTTGCTAACATTTCGAGACACCACTCCCACAATCCCCCCTGCTATGGAATTTCGGCTAAGTCCTCTAACCCTGAGGCATTCCTCGCACACCCCTTGTAACCCAAAAATTTAAGCTAAGTCCCCATAACCAAAGACATCCCTCCCAGACCCCTCGAAAGTCATGACCCAGGAAAATCGGCTAAGTCAAACCAGAGACATTGCTCTCACACCCCTCACAAAACTTGCAAATTTGGTGAAGTTCCTCACAGCCAGATACAATGGCCAGTGGGCGAAGTTGTCAGACAAAAATGTATGCGTTGTCTGGATTCTAAGACGAAATATAACTCGCAGTGTGTTTTTTCAGACGAAATTTAAACATCCGTCTTAACGTTCAGACGAAATAAAACACGTGGTCTTAAAAATCAGATGAACCAAAAAAATCGAGTCTGGTTTTCAGACCATCAGACCGATTTCGTCTGCTATCTGGGGCCCTGGTGAGGAGGACACGTGTGGGTTGGGCCCTCCCTTAGCCAAATTTAGTACAGCGCCCCGCAGGCGCCAATTCGTTCTGCGCTAAGATGATATCAAATTATGTTAGGTCCGCCCACCCGCTTCCGCCCTAGCCCCTAGCGCCCCGTTGGCCCCTTAGCGCCTCGCTGATCCCTTAGCGCCCCGCTAGCCCCGTACACCCCGCTGGCCCCGTTCGCGCCCCGCTGGCCCCCCGCTGGCCCCGTATGCCCCGCTGGCCCCGTTCGCGCCCCGCTGGCCCCCCGCTGGCCCCGTATGCCCCGCTGGCCCCGTTCGCGCCCCGCTGGCCCCGTTGAGCCTCGCTAGCCCTGTGGGCCCCGCTGGCCCCGTACGCCCCGCTGGCCCCCTTCGCGCCCCGCTGGACCCGTCGAGCCCCGCTAGCCATGTGCGCCCCGCTGGCCCCATACGCCCCGCTGGCCCCGTTCGTGTCCCGCTGGCCCCCTCGAGCCCCGCTAGCCCCGTGCGCCCCGCTGGCCCCGTACGCCCCGCTGGCCCCGTTCGCGCCGCGCTGGCCCCGTCAAGCCCTGCTCGCCCTGTGCGCCCCGCTGGTCCCTTACGCCCCGCTGGCCCCATTTGCGCCTCGCTAGCCCCGTGCGCCACGCTAGCCCTAGCCTGCCAACCTTTGCTCGCCGGCCCCACCACGCCGACTCTCGCTCGTAGGCCCTTGCTCGCCGGCCTCCGCTCGCTCGCCGCCCCTACTGCAGCCGGCCCCCGTTCCTGCCGGCCCCAGCTTCTCGCGGTGCCACCGTGCCGCAGTGTCGCCGTGCCTCAGTGCCGTCGTGTCGCCGTCCTGCCGTTCCGCCGTGCCGCCGTGCTGCCGTTTTGCCGTGGAGCCGTACTGTAGTGTCGCGGTGTCGCCGTGCGCCGTGCCGCCGTGTCTCCGTGCCGCCGTGTCGCCGTGCGCCATGCTGCCGTGCTGCCGTCTTGCCGTGGAGCCGTGCCGCCGTGTCACTGTGCCACCGTGCCACCGTATAGCTGAGGCCATGTGATGGCGGACGCTGTGCTCCGCCTGGACGCAGAGGGGCGGGCGATCGACTTCGATGCGTGGTCGGCGGCGAACTGGGCGGCACGGCGAGCTGAGGTCGGCGGCGAGCCGGAGGTCAGCATCGAGCAGGGGGTCGGCAAGTCAGGGCCGGCGATCTGGGGCCGGCGCAAGCTGGGGCCGGCGCGGGCTGGGGCCGCCGCGAGCTAGGGCTGGCGATCTGGGGCCGGCGTAGAGCTGGAGCCGGCGCGAGCAGGGGTCGGCGATCTGGGGCCGGCAAGCTGAGGCCGGCGAGCTGGGGCCGACGAGCTGGGGCCGGCAAGCTGGGCCAGCGAGCTGGGGCCGGCAAGCTGAGGCCGGCGAGCTTGGGTCGGCGCGAGTTGGGGCTGTCGAGCTGGGGCTAGCGACGGGGGAGGGGCCGCCAGGCGAGTCGAGGCCGGCGTCGAGCAATGGGGCCGTGCGGCGAGGAAGGGGCCGGCGGCGAGCTAGGGGCCGTGTGGCGAGCGAGGGGCCAGCGGTGAGCTAGGGGCCGGCGGTGAGCTAGGGGCCGCGCGGCAAGCGAGGGGCCGGCGGCGGGCTAAGGGCCGGTGGCGAGCGAGCTAGGGGCCGCGCAGCGAGCAAGGGGCCGGCGGCGAGCCGGGGGCCGGCGGCGAGCTAGGGGCCGTGCGGCGAGCAAGGGGCTGAGAACGAGCTAGGGGGCCGCGCGGCGATCAAGGGCCAGCGGCGAGGACGGGGCCGCGCGGCAAGCTAGGGGCCGACGGCGAGCTAGGGCGGCGCGACGAGTAGCGGCCGACGCGACGGACTAGGGCGGAAGCACGGGTGGGGAGACCTGCCTATTCTGATACAAGCTCAAAGAGGCGAATTAGACTACGCAAGGGCATACAGGGTGTTATTATACTTGTGGGTTGTACTCTCTAAGAGCATGCACCTATCTAGTATATAACTACAAATTTGTAAGTTGACAAAACTAGCTAGGGAAATTTTGACTAGAAAGTGGGGAGGGGAGATACAATTAGAGTGTTATCCCCTAAGAGCTGACCTAGCCAGGCCCCTAGATATCAGCCTTTTTACGTTGATTCAACATTTTTTTAAGCCTTTTTTTTTTACCAAGGCTGAAGTGAAAGGCATTTTTTTATAGCCTAGTCTGATGTTTTCAGCCTTTTTTCAGAGTGTAGGCTGAGTTTTCAGCATACTCCCTTGAAGGGAGGCTGAAACCGAGTATAGTGTGTTTCCGGGGCCCCCCTCAATTACCGTTATGTGATATGTTTACCCCCGTCAATCACGCTCAGTGACTGCACTGTTGGGCTGTCGGTGCGAAATCTGACGCGGAATTTCCTCCACCGTCGCCAGCACACTAGCGACTGCACGTTGTGATTTGTTGTTAGCCAAATTTCAGCTACTGTAAGTAAACCAATCGTCAAAGCTCTCTATGACCCAGCTGCAAATGCGCTGGTTCAGCAGTGCATGAAAGATGCTGCCCCGGAGCGCCCTGAAGATTCCAGAAGGGGGTACCCCCTCCAACGTTGCATGGGCAGCAGCAGAACCGCACTGCGTTATGATGGCAGCACCCATCAAGAAGGGGTCATCTGC